TTGAGCTGAAAATCCCTGTGGATTTTAGCATCCAATGTTCCCATGGGAAAAAAACCCAACCTTGGCATTAATAGATGTACACTAAAGATTTCAGCTTTTCTTGAGCAATCACTAAGGATTTAATATGCGGTCATTTCTAATGGGAAAATAATAACTATCTCATGGCGTTGATTTAAGGATTAAATTAGATAATGGACAAGAAAATGCTTTGTAAGGTTTAAAAATCTATAAAAATGTTTTTTGTTATTATTTGATTTGTTGCTATTTCAACTTTAGCTGACAGTTGATTATGACCTTGCTTATGTGAGAAAATGCCTTCTGGTTTATTGTTTTGAAAGCCAGATTATATTTTTCAATAGCTCAATGGAAATGGCATCATTTGTGAAGTTTAAGGGTGAAGGCATAAATGTTTCTTGACATTTGAATCAACTATTGGTCTTCTGGGGCTTGTCCTTATTCTCCTGCAGTCTCTAATCAACATGGCATCCAGAGAGATCCTGTTAAAACATAAGTCAGATCATGTCACTCAAGTCTCTTCAATGGCTCCTTCACAGGAAAAGCAAAGTCCTCAAAGTGCCTCCACAGCCCTAGAAATCTGGGCTTCTGTTTCCTCTCTGACTGTTTCCTTTTCGTCTCCACTTTGCTCCCTCTGTTTTCCACACGCTGACATCCTTCCTGCTCCTTGGATACTCCAAGCCCACTCTTGCCTCATTGCCTTTCCATCTGACTGTTCCCTCTGCTTGTACTATTCACTTCCCAGATATGCACCTTGCTCCCTCTCACAACCTTAGGTTCCCTCTTAAATTTTATCTTCCGCAGAAAGCCCTCAGTGGTCACTTAGTTTCAGATCACAGCCTCCTCCTACCAGCTAACAATCTCCATCTCCCTTCCATTCTTGCTGTTTTTCTCCAGCACTTACCTGATATACTAGTTATTCTACCCATTCATTTATTCAATTTTTATTTACGTATTTACACTTATGATTTTATGTTTGCTTCTTTACTTTTGTCTCTCCCCTCAGCTCGAGAGAGGCTATATTCATCTGTGGTAATTACTGCTGTGTTTCCTGAACATGCCTATAAAACATACTGAAGAAGGGTGCCTGAAATTTGGTAAGGGATCCATCAATTTTCTTGGCTGAATGGAGAAATATGTTCATAAATTAATGAACAAATCTCTGGGGTTTCTGAATTAAGGACTAATGGGAAGAGGAAGGCAAATGGTTGGGACAGGGTACTGCAAGAAGTAGTATTTGGAGTACTCTGATAGCTATCCTAACAGATAACATTTTGTTCATTAAAATAGTTTTAATGAGAGAGCTGGGAACTAGGGACACACAGCATCAAGGTTTTATAATGCATTCCGCAGAGTTCTTTTTAAGTGTGTTCAAATATCATTGAAAATATATGCATGCATATAAACCTCTGTTACTTTATTTAGTGCTTTACAAGAGCCCCTCAAGGATGGGGTAGTAGCAACTATCAGTATCCTTCCTTTATGATGAGCTTAATTTACTCAAAATTACATCAAAATTTATTAGTAAGTGTGAAACTAGACTTAGTTATTTAGTAGACCCTCCCTAGAAACCTATGACTTTAATAAAACCAACAAAAATGTGTTCAGTTTCCACTACAGACTCAATTATGTGTCATCCATTTTAATGAAGGGAAGAAGTGATTTAACAAACACAGAGCAAACAGAATATGAAGTTTTGTCCTCCATTAATATTAGTAACGGATAAAGTGGGCTCCAATGCCTTCAAGGTAGCTTGAGACCATCATCTCTGTGTCATGGGCAGGGGGATGCTCGGCCAGGATGTCTTTCTCTGTCACTGAGAAAAATGTCCATAATATATAATGATACCTACTGAAACTGATATGGGGCATTTGGGTAATAAGGAATCCATTAGCATATTTTTCCGGAAGCCTTGACTACAAAATGAAGACAGTAGATTTGGACACTTTCAGCCATGAAGAAGTTGTTTGGATATTCATCTTTATGCCTAATGAAATAAGCTTATTTCATCTCTGCAGCTTCCCATATACCATTTTCCCACCTCTGTTTTATGTTTGCAAAGACTTTTAGAAATTGAAAGTCAAGTTAAAAAGTGAGTGACGGGGCTTCCCTGGTGGCGCAGTGGTTGAGAGTCCGCCTGCCGATGCAGGGGACACGGGTTCGTGCCCCGGTCCGGGAAGATCCCACATGCCGCGGAGCGGCTAGGCCCGTGAGCCATGGCCACTGAGCCTGCGCGTGCAGAGCCTGTACTCCGCAACGGGAGAGGCCACAGCAGTGAGAGGCCCGTGTACCACAAAAAAAAAAAGAAAAAGTAAAACAAGTGAGTGACAACTTAAATGATATATGGAATATTTTGCTGACTTACAAGAGCATGCAGAATTAAATATGACCCAGTTGAAATGTTAATTTTATTTTAATGTGTATATTGGAGTGGAATCTTAAAGGTGCCAGAAAACAAGCATTCACCCATCCTGTTTGGAACTGCAGCACACAGACACCTTGAGTTACCAGTTCTGTTCATTCCACAGAATCATCTTGGGAAAACATACTGTTTTTTATGTACCTGGTATATAAATTAGTTTGAAGAATTTCCCAAATACCTGTTAATATGTAGTTCTCCAATTCCAATCTTGCCACGTCCTGTACCAGTGACACAGCACATAGGAGTGTTATTTCTCTTTCTTTCTCTGGGTTGTTGAGAACCCAACAAAAGAACAATGGAATGGCATCAAAGAGATCAGGGTTCTTGACTCAGATTTACCATAAAATAACAGTGTCCTCTTGGGAAAATTATAGTTATTCTAGGCCCCTTTCCTTTTCTTTACTTTGACAGAGCTGTACTAGATGACCCCAAGTAACACTGCACTCTTTGCAGTAGTAGCTTAGACGTTATTGGTTTTCTGAAACAAATGAAGACAATGACACAGGAAACTGTGCAACATCTCTGTAACTATGTTTTCTTAGAGTTGCCTCCATTTTACAGATGATAAGATGGCTGAGCACAGAAGTAGATGTTTTGACCAGAGGTTCCAGAGTAGATGGAACTGAACCACAAGTTTCCTTCTTTCCTGAAGCTCATTTAGCCAAAACATAGGCTTCTGAATATTAAGCTGTAAAGCATATTATCAGTATGCTTTAAAAGAAGCGGTTCTTCTAGAATTTCTAATTAATAGCAGGCGGTTTTGAAATTCTTGAAAGATCATCTGATTTTGTAAGATTTACAGCTCTATTTTCCTGTCAAGCAAGTTGTATTAGTGCCAGACAATCATCTGAGCTTCTGGATGCTTCTTTGAACCTCTTGAATTTTTCTTCTTGCTATCTGAAATTCATGCCGATAAGCCTTTTTGTAGAGAGTATGTACAGACTTGTCTATTTTCATATAAGAAAGCGATGCAGTGAGCCAGGTTGGGCGTTAAGCCCTCATTCTCAGAGTGGTATTGAGCTCCTGGTGAAATATTATCATCATTTCCTCAGAATAGAAAAGCAGTTATCTCAAGTTTTTAATGCCATTAACTATTTATACATTTATATATAATACATATATTTATTGTACCTACAAGGTGTGCTCTCTTTGGGAAGTACAAAGCTATTTAAGACATAGGTTGTTCATTTTTTTTGTTTTCCCACAAATACTGTGACCCTTTGAGCAGGAAGGTCTATATTTTACTAATATCTAGAACAAGCAGCTAACACAGTGTCTAAGATATAGTCAATAGATATGAAATAGATAAATGAACACATTTTTAAGGAAGGGCCAGGACACGAACAAATAGAAAATTTTCATTTTCAGTCACAAAGCCACAACAGACATAAAAATGATACAGACAACAAGTGCTACAATCATTCAAAGAAGGCATGGAATTGATACAACAAGGATCTCCTCTATGGCACAGGGAACTATACTTAATATTTTGTAATAACTTATAAGGGAAAAGAATCTGAAAACGGAACCACTGTGCTGTACACCTGAAACTGACACGACATTGTAAATCAACTATACTTCAATTAAAATCAAACAAACAGACAACAACAACAAAAAAAACCCAAAGAGGTCATAGAAGTTCTTATGAGATTCTAGAAGAGAAGAGAAGCCAAATGAGGACGGGAGAGAAGGCTTTTGAATCAGTTCAGAGGAGAAGTCACAGAGGAACTAGTCTTTGACCTGAATTTGAGATTAAGATTAAGGTGAATTAATCTGAATTAATTAAGGTTGCAACACAGGGATATTACAGATGAAGGTAATCACATAAACTTACTATACTGAAACTTGCAGAGGTTATGAGTGTTGTTCAAGATCCCAAAGCAAGTGCATTGTGGAATCAGAATTTTAAGTGAGGCCTAATGAACTAAAAACAAAGAAACACAGAAACAAGCCCTTCCTGTGACACCACGTTGCCTTTGAAGTCGTTTTTTTGGTTGGTTGGTAGAAACTGGTTCCAATGTTTCTTGCAGGAATGACTAGTTCTGTCTCCCTGCGGCCCCCCAGCCCCGAGTTGATCCTCAAAGTTTCCTTTAGAATGGTCTTGCTAAAATGCAGACATGCGAGTATTCATGACGCCTGTGTCCAATCATTTCTCCTGCCATTGCCTAGTTCACTTCTGGATTATATGAACAATTCACTGTCTTCATTTATGCTTTTCCCTCCTCCAAGAATTCCTTTCTTCCTATGGGGCACCTGGGAAACCCACTTCATTTTTCAAAACTCAATTTACATATTATGTCTTTTGTGCAGTCTTCTTTTTAGTGTTGTGATCACATGCTCCTTTCTGCTACCCTTGCACTTCTGCATGCCTGATTGTTGCACTCGCTACACTGTATTGTGATTGTATTTTTTACATATCTCTGTGTTCTCCTGGGCAACACTCCTTGGGGCCAGGGACTACCTTTTTTCATCTATTGATGTTGCCTTAGCATGTTAATTGTTGTGTAGTAGTTAGTTGTAAAAATGAGATTTGAATAAATAAACAATTGTTATGTACATATTGCTTATTATCACTTTACAGATATAACAGGAAAAAGTATTAATGTTGGTGCTGACAGTTCACTTCTAGTAAATGGTGGTGGTACTTGACTCTACTTATAATATTTTTCCCACTATTTTATATCTTTCTACCTGATAGCTCTTCTTTATTTCCATCTATGTTTCTTTATTACTAAAGTAAGAAAAACAGGTATGAGGGTAGGGCTAGGCCATACGTGGCTGGAATAGTAAAGAAATTGTGTGGGGTTTTCGTGAGAAAATCCTGAAGCATACAGGTCTGCCTGTTCCCTTTGAGGTATGTGGAGGGGTCTGCTTCTAAAGAGTTGTATTAGCAACTAATCAAGATGTTTTTGCACAAGGCTCCTGATTAGCTGTTGGTATACTAAGAGTGAATCAGAGTTAGCATAGTTTCTGATTTCTTTTACATTGTCAATGTGGATGATCATTTTTTACTCCTGGGGGTGGTGGTGGTGAGGAGTGAGGGAATGTTCCTTTCCTGCTGCTGATGTTTCAGTCCTGTCAAGAGAGCTCTTAGGGTCATTTCAGCCCTGCTTCTTTACTGACTCTGCCCCAGGGTGATCAAGTGACTTCTATAGAAAGCTTGAAAAGAATTAAGTGAGCATGCTTGCCTTGACTAATTCTGTTCTCTCCCTTGAGAGTCTGAGTGAGTGTCTTCTGTTTGTCTCATTCTGTGTATTACTAGTTAGTAAATCTGCCCAATTCTGGGGTTCTGTTATGTGATCATTTCGTTGAAACTGGATTCTCAAGCCAGGGCTATCAAGAGTAACAGGAATATTTGGCCCTCCATCTTTTCACTTTTATCTTGTTTCCTAATTTATTCCAAACCAAATGGAATTAAGGCATTGTACTTGCTGGAAGGTAATTAAAAGACCCTAACACTTGGTGCATTACCTGGGAACACTGAGAAATAAAAAGAAAGGAGCAGACATCTTAGAGAGCAAACTGTCCTTGTGGAAGATATTTTGTTACTGCCAAGGAAGGTAGTCTAGTGCCTTGGTTTTTAATGTATGGTGGGATGTTGAGACCTTTGACTGTTTGAAAATATTTAGGTTTGTGCAGTAAACTGCTGAAGCCTAGAAAAGGTTTAGTGCATGCTGTATAAGTGTCCCGTGCTTGCTGGGAGACTAATAAACTTGGAGGCTTAACACAAGAGAAATTTACTATCTCACAGTTGTAGAGGCCAGAAGTGTGATATCAAGGTGTCAGCAAGGCTGCTCTCCCTACAGATGCTCTAGGGGAGATTCTATCCCTTGCCTCTTTCAGCTTCTGGTGGTTGCCCTCTTCCTTGGCTTGAAGCCACATCACTCAGTTTTTGTCTCTGTCTTCACATCACCCCCTTCCTGTGTCTGTATCTTCTCTTTTGTCTGTCTCAAATGTCCCTCTGCCCTTCTTGTATAATAAGGACAATTGTCATTATATTTAGGACACATCCAGATAATATAGGATGGAAATCCCATCTCAAGATCCTTAATGACATTTGCAAAATTTTTTTTTTTCAAATAAGGTAACAGTCAAGGATTAGGACATGGATATATCCTTTTGGGGGCCACCATCCAACCAGCCGTAAGACACTTTGATTTTGGCTGATGGCTGCAGCTTATGGTGTGGGAGAGTGGCAGTTTCTTTCGAGCCACTTAAGTAAAGGTCTGACATAAAGAAAAGGGGCATTAGGGAGTTGCAGGTGACTGAGCAATACCTGGAGCGGAATGAATAAGGCACCTGAAGGGTCTTTAGTATACAGAGACCTTTACCTGGCACTTGACTTGAGACTGTGCAGGAGTTTACAGGGCAGGAAAGTCTTGGGCAGCCGTCCACCTTGCCTTACTCTTCAGGTACAGTTTTTCCCAAGCAGGTTTGACTGAGACAAAGACTCAGTTGTAAGGAAAACATGTCTTGTAGAACTTGTCGGCATTGACACATATGGTCTACCGTAGGCTGAAGTGACTCCCTTTACATGTGGGCCCAAGCTGACACTGGATTTGTCAATTATGCTGGAGAAAGAAATGTTCTCTTAAAGGCAGCCGCCTTTGGTCTATGCAATTCCATAGCAGGAGGCAGTGAAAATGGCCATGGGGGCATAGGACTGTCAAATCTACGCATCAGAACTGGAGGTGTAATGTCACTTGACAGAACCCGTAATCAGTTCAGTACTGCAGTGTGAACCACAAGGTCATCAAAGAGGAAGGATAACTCAAGAGTCCATGTGTGACAGATGCTCAGGGCTGTGCACTGCACGTGGCAAATTCATAGTGACAAATCAACGTCAGGCTTCAAAGATTCCTCCTGGTTCGAAGTTTGCAGGTCAGAAATTTCAGTGAAATGGCATAGACTAATGGACATCCTAGTGAGGCTAGAACAAAAGAGACTTTATCTTTCTCTCAAATGCCATTGAGTTTCTGCTTTGTTCTTTGGTCAAATTCTGTACTGGATTCTGGGCACAAAAATGTGCCTAGTTTCTGTCTTCTAGGAGTGGGGCATTGGCTTGCTTTTGAGATTGTTTTTAAATTGTGGGGATAGTGCTGTAAAATCAAATTGTATCTTAGTAACTCTTTAGACTCTTTAAAACACGGTTCATGAGAAACTTGATAAACTGATAAAACAGCCAAGGCCCTGAGAGACCCACACCCGTGTCAGTGACAGAAGTCCAAGCTACAGATACTGAAGGAGCCCTCAGTCGCATTCAGGAAATGAAAGCCCTGTGACTGAGAATGAACCAAATGTACAGCTGGGAGGATGGTTTATGGACATTTAGGACTTTGGATTTTTAACCCACAGTAACAAGGAAACTTGATTTCAAAATTGGGCTTTAATACTTTGGGACCTTAATTCATAAGAGCGTTTAATGTGTGCCCTTTTAATTTCTCTGTGAAGAATTTGATACTGGTAGAGGTGTACTTTCAAATTTGCAACATTTCTATGATTTCTGAATTGTATTACTGGATGCTTTTATGTATTTAATCTTAGTTTGTCATTTAACCTCATCAGCTTTCTATGGTTAGCTGTGCTGTGGATGGCTGGTAAACAAAAAGTTGTTTCTGATCATTGGATATGAGTAGCCCTGGAGTTAATTTAAATTAAAGCAATTTCTCACCCATATCAGAGACTTCTGGGATGAAACTCTAAGTCGACCACCAGTAGTTCCCAGAGGCCACTAAAATGAGTAACCCCATAAAAGTGTGAGCAGGACTGTCCTGATAAAGGTCTTTTCTTTGTCCTGAAGGGAGAGCCATATTCCGTTAATTACAGGCTTAAAGGCATAGTTGAGTGGGTTAAGAGATTGAAAAAAACAGGGAAACATTAGTGAAACAGGGAAGCATTAGTGACAATTTCCCTTCTCGTTCCTAATGGTACCAGCATGTGAAGGGAATTTGAGTAGTATAACTTTTAACCTCCCTGCTCTTATATTCACTGACACTGGCTAGGTGAGGTGACCTACTTGACTGGCAAAGTTGGGAAGAATAACTGGCCATGCTTTGCTAAGCTCTTCTTTCCTTCATCTTGGGAGTGAGTCTGGTGATAGAGAGACAAAAGTTCTCTGCTCCATTGTGGACATGCCCCTTTCACATGGGTTTGCCTGGAACCAACTTGCTGCAACAAAGTGGGTAAGTCTGGATAATTCTAGAATTCACTTGACAGACTCACTTGGCTGTCTCATGAAACCCCATTTCCAACATGGGCTCTAAAAGTAAAAAGTGACATAATGTGTGGGCTCCAGTGCAAAATGAAAATATAGTGCCTCTTGTTCAAACTGCAAAGAAAAAGTGTTGTTGAAAGTATTTGCACTGGGGTGCATAGTGTCCTCCCCAAATTCACGTTCACCTGGAACCTGTGAATGTGCCCAAGTAAATTCTTTTTTCAGATAGAATCGAGATAAGATGACATCATACTAGATTAGGGTGAGCCCTAAATGGGTTCTATGGGTTGTTCTCTCTTCTCTTTTTCATATATGTCATCTTTTTCAGCAGAAGTGTTTGGCTAATATTGGGAAGTAACACGAGTAAGAAAGGATATGATAAGATTCCTTGGACATTCTTGTTTTTTAGAAAACAACTGCTTTCTTTCTGAACTTACTTCAAGCTGGAAGTAAGTTCAGATTCAAATGGAAAGCATGGCCTCCTGGAGCTGTTAACACCTTCATTTAGTCTTGGATGTGAGCAGTAGCACAGAATTCTGGTGGAACTCAGTAAGACTCCAAATGGGTACCAAATAAGCGTGTCATGGAAAGCACACCATAAGCAGGGTGAAAACTAGTTGTGAATGGGGCCGCAGGAATGGTGGAGACACACATATTGCACATGTCTCCTCTGCTCATGTGTATATTTTATTGTCCTATAAATTTTACTTACAGAACGTAAGTTCAAAGATAGAATCATTAAGAATTTCAAGACAGCAATAGCACAGCATGAAACCAAGCAAGCGTGGGGCCCTTCTGAGCATGGTTCATGTGGGACTTGATCGACTGGTAAAAGAGCCAAGGCTCTGGGATACCCACACCATGTCAGTGACAGAAGTCCAAGCTACAGATATTGAAGCAGCCCTCACTGCCACTCAGGCACAGAAAGGCCTGTCACTGAGAATTAACCAAAATGTAAATTTAGGAGGATAATTTATGGACTTTTAGGACTTTGGATTTATAACCCACAATAACAAAAAAACTTCATTTCAAAAGAGAGTGTGAGGTCTTCATGTTTGCTTTGGTTGTTGAGGGTCCTTTGTGGTTACATATCAATTTTGGAGTCGTTTCTTCTACTTCTGCAAAAATAGGGGATTTTGATAGGCATTGCTTTAAATCTGTAGGTAGCTTTGTGTAATATGGACATTTTAACAATAATTCATGAGCGTGGGATGTCTTCCCATTTATTTATGTTTTCCTTAGTTTCTTTCAATAATGCTGTAGTTTTCAGTGTACAATCTTTCATGTCTTTGGTTAAGCTTATTCCTAAGTATTTTATTCTTTTTGATGCTATTGTAAATGGAATTGTTCTCCTAATTTCTTTCTCAGATTGTTCATTGTTAATGTGCAGAAATGCAAGTGATGTGTATATGTTGATTTCATATTCTGCAAACAAACTTTGCTAAGTTGTTTTATTAGTTCTAATAATTTTTTTTTGAAATATTTAGGATTTTCTACATCTTTTTCAATAGTTTCCCTTTCAGCCTAAGTGTATCCTTAAATCTAGGGGACATTTTGACCTCCATCTTAGGCTTTCATCTTAATTCTCAACTTCTTCAGAGTCTTAGCTGGTTAGTGTTCTCCTCATTGTTTGCCACTTTGGAGAATCCAACAAAATGTTCTACTCAAGGGGAGCCCTCTTTTCTCTTCAACCTCTGAACCTGAATATCACTTATTACTTACTTCATTCTCTTAGAACTTAGCATTCGAAGTTTAAATGGTGATCTTTCTTAAAGGAGGTCAATATGCTCACCGAATTCAAGACCTCTGGTGAGTTGTGACAAGTGTGTAGGAATCATATTAACTTCTTGACTGTTACCCCCCTGGAAACATTCCTAAAGTGGCATTTGAGCTTGATATTCAGGTTTATTGGACACCGCATTAAAGAGTTTAACAGAATAAGAGTAAGCTGGTCTTTCCTAAAGCAGACTTTATCCAAGGGCGACCTTGTAGCCACCTGCATCAGGCTCATCCTCGTTGAGTCATTGAGTGCCCTCAACCCCCCTAAACTGTAAACTCCTATAGACAAGACTTATGTTTTACAGCTCTTGTTCCCCTTCCCTATACCTAAACATGCCTGGAATAGAAGGTGCCTCTACGAACAGGTGTTGCTTTATTATAAACTACAGTTAGTACATGTATATGTTCATTTCCTTCTGGGAAAGGAGGCTACATTCCACAGGATTCAAATATCAAGCCTTTAAACTTTCTTGAACCCACAGATATATAAATGGTTGTATAACTATCCTCCCTCTATACAACTGTAAGATGATCATATCAAAGTATGGTCATTAATTGTTTCTTTTTTGTTTTTGTGGTACGCAGGCCTCTCACTGTTGTGGCCTCTCCCGTAGCGGAGCACAGGCTCCGGACGCTCAGTCTCAGCAGCCATGGCTCACGGGCCCAGCAGCTCCGCGGGATGTGTGATCTTCCCGGACCGGGGCACAAACCTACGTCCCCTGCATCAGCAGGCTGACTCTCAACAACTGCACCACCAGGGAAGCCCCCCATTCATTATTTTTAATTGCAAACAGATAATAAGCAAAGTGAAAGGAACTTCTTCCACCAAAGTAAAGGCCAAAGTTCAAAAAGTCAAATTAATATGGGGTTTGTTACTATTCTAAATAGTAAAGAACAATGGCAAGAAATGTCACAGTGTTGGTTGCTATTAACATCTTTTCGTTTTCCATTACAGTTGTTTATATTATCTTCATGGGATATCACTGAAGTTATCAAGTTATCTTAATAGTCAAATTAAAAAACAAAATCCCTTGAAATGCCAATACAAAGAAAAATGAGTCAGAACATGAAAAAATGTTTTAGACAAGTTGACAGCATGTATTCTTTGTTCATATCTCTTTTTGAGAGAAGTTCCATCTTATTCACACCCACATGTACAATAGACTGAATAAAATACAACCCCATCACTCAATGGTGATAAAAAAAGGAAAGTCAAGCTGGTTCCAGAAAATTCCTCTATTTATTCCTAGTATCTGGTTGCATCTGGCAAAAAAGAGCATTTTGAAATATTCTCTAAATTTTTGTATTTTATTTTATAATAATTTGCTTATTTATCTCAATGTAAATATTAAAAACGCATGAGAAATATTTTAACGTTTGGCATTTGACGATTCCTGTCTATTTCATTAATGTTTCCTTTGCGTCCTATGATGATCTTTTGGGATAGCACACACCACTCTCATACTCCCCAGACTCTACAGCCACATACATGTGCAAAATAGCTTGTGGGTCTGCGTTAACATACTCTTGGTTGAGGCAGGAAGGCTGTAGAGTACATAGTTTTTACACCTGCATATTTTAAGTGTTTTTGGAAAGTAACCCTAGTTTGAGTGCAAGTTCCATCGATTTATCAAATGCATCTCAGGTATACCTAGGTATGTCCAGTAAAATGGTAAGGCTATATTACTGGGAGACTATTTACATGAGCAAGTGGAAAGACATCCGTGAAAGAATATATTATAACCAAGAGTCACATATAATATGTCAATCAAATAGAATGTAGATCCCAGAAACATATCCACACATATAAGGACATCTGATTATTCAACAGAGCTGCAAAGCGAATTTCTAGGAGAAAGGATAGTCTTCTTGACCAATGGTGCCAGAAGCATATAGCACACGGATACTGTGCATAGATAGCCATATGCAAAAGTATGACCTTTGATCCCTACTTCACACCACATGAAGAATTAACTAAATGTAGATCAAAACATAAATCTCTAAAACGTGGACAAAATCCTTTTGACCTTGAGTTAAGCAAAGATTTCCTAGAGATGACACCAAAAACAAGATCCATAAAAGAAAAAAAGTGATAAATTGGGTTTCATCTTTGGAAGCCATTATTAATAAAAGAAAAGCCACAGGTTGGAAGAAAATATTTACAAATTATATACCTGAAAAAACTTGTGTCTCTAACACGTATAGAACTCTCAAAACTCAGTAATTAGAAATTTTTTTTAAATTAACAACATGGGTAAAAATATTTAAAAAGAGATCCTGCCAAGGAGGTGTACAGATGCAAATAAGCACATGAAGTTGCTCAATGTAATCAATTATTAGCTAAATGAAAATGAAAGCCCCAGGAGATACCACTACACATGTATTGAATGGCTAAAATTAGAAAAGTCCAACCACACCAAGTATTGGTGAGGCAGTGTAGGAACTGCAAGTCTTTTACACTGCTAGTGGGAAGGAAAATGGTACAGTCACTTCAGTCAACAGTTTGGCTGTTTCCTTATAAGTCGAACATACACCTGCGGTATGATCCAGCCTTTCTGCACCTAGATATTTATGCAAGAAAAATCAAAGCATATGTTCATACAAAGACTTGTACATGGATCATCACAGCATCTTTATTTTTAATAGAATTGTAACAACCTCGAGCACCCATCAACAGGTGAATGAATAAACATACCGTGATATACTCATACAGTGAAACACTACTCAGCAAAGCAAAGTGATTGACTATTGATACCTACAAAAATATGAATTACTCTCAAAATCATTACATTGTGTGAAAGAAGCCAGATAAAAGAGTCCTCACTGTGTGAATCCATTTATGTAAATTTCTAGAAAATTGCAAACACGTGTCTAACGATAGAGTGATATAGCATATCAGTGGTCACTTGGGGATGTGGAGGGGTGGAATGTGAGGGGAAAAAGGGGCTTTATGAATGAGGCATAAAAACACTTGCAAGTGATGGATATGTTCCTTCTCTTGATTGTGTTGGCAGGTCCATGGGTATATGCATATTTCAGAACTTAAATTGTGTTCTTTAAGTATGTGCAGTGTACTGTGTGTCCGTTCTATTTAACAGAGCCATTAAAAAAAGGCTAAGAACAGACGTTTGTCTCAACAAACAAATATAGCAAAGAACAGAAAAGTCAAGTACAGTATGATCTCTGTCAGTTGAATTTTCCTACAGTTTATTTCCCTCAAAAAATATATCCCAGTTCTTAAAAGAGATGGGACTCTTAATAAAAGGTAAAAAAAAAAAAAAAAAAAAAACCGGCAAAGCCATCAGCAGGGTGAGCTCCAGCTACTTTTCAATTGTGGGACACTAGGTGCACGGTGCAGACATGCTAGGATGTTTGTTCTTCCTGCCCAATATTTTAGAGAGGATATTAAACACCCCTGTTAAATGCCTGCAAGTGATGGCCAGAGTGGAGTTTGGAGAATGATGTCTGTGATCTTTAATATGGTTGTGCCTTTGTAAAAGTCTCACTCAGAATTTCCAGGGTAATTGTGGAGTCAACTTCTTTTTGTTTTTTGGATGATATATATGTCTAACTCACCTCAAGAATATATCCACGTAGACTTGAAGTTAGGGACCAGCTGGTGTAAATTTGTGTGGTTATCTCCTGACCTAACTATTTAGCTTCTTCTTTTTCCTTGATTGTAGTTAAGCTTCATCTTGCCTCAGGGCCTTTGTATTTGCTATTCCCAAGTTTTGGAAATATTATTTCCAGAAAATTTTTCCATAAATGATTCCTTTCTATTCTTTGGCACTCATCTCTTAAAGATAGTTTTTCCTTGATTGTCCTACCAGCCTAACTTAGTCCCAATTTATCAGATTACTTTACTTCTTTCACAGAATAATAATAAAAACAAATATTATCTTTGGTGTCTCTTTGTATTTAGATGAACTTCTTCCCAAAGAACTCAAGCCCCACAGTGACAGAGGTTGTTACCTTTCTTATCCCTTATTCTGTGTCTTAGAACTGTGTCTGGCATGTGGTAATCACTCGAGGTCTGTTGACTGTGTAAAGAATATGTGAGTAGATGAACAGATTTGGAGTTATTTAAGGTCGCTCTTAATGATGGCTGGTGTTGGTGATTAAATTAACATTGTAGGTTTTAGAGTTGGAAGTGATCTTGCTGAGTCTCAGAGCTACGGCAAAACTCTCCCTACTGTAGCATCCCTGACAGATGATCAAGTCTGAGCTTGAATAACTGTATATGAAAGACCCTAACCAGGGCAACCTTGTAGCTGTCTTCAAGCAGATCACAGCCTTCCATGGGAGTTTGCTCCCTATTAGTCAGCTGTAATTAGGAGAAAACGGTTTGATTTACCCAGAATCATCTTCTCTCAGTCTCCTTGTTCTAGTTCCTAGAGAATAGACAGGACAGAGTTTCCTCTAAATTACATCCTTAGGGTTTGCACTCCTGCTTGTAATAAAATAAACACCACGCTATGGCAAAATTCCCCTTGATTGTCTGCCACTTGTTGCTACATTCCTCGTTAGTGTTTAGAAATAATTTGTCTTAATGTTCCACATTATAATTGATGGAGTACAGAAATAAAAGAGATCTCGGGTTTATGTCAGAAGCAATCAGACAGATATTTTAACTTACCCTTTTAATGTATTTAATGCTGACACTGTGAGGAATTGAGGAGTGTAGTCACCGCATTATTGCCATTGCTGAAAAAATGTATTTATGGTCACTTTGAAAGCATTAGTGATGGGGGAATTGTCAGCTACATTTTAGAGCTGTGACCATTTCTCAAAAAGTTGTGATACGAAACACCTCTGCCTTTTCTTGTATTTCTGTTACATTCAACTACTTCACAAAAAGCATTCGTCATATTCCTGAAACAATGATGGGCTTAGTTGAGATTCTTTTGGGTCCTAAGGGACCAACATGTGTGCATAATAGTGTCGAGTAACACAGAGCCTGGATGTTTGGCTCCAGACTGAAAGCCCCATGGAGTCGTTTTTTCACATCTGTTCACCAATGTGTATGAATGGGAGAAAACCAAAGTTCTGGTTTGTTTGATCAAGGGGAGCCACACTCCTTTTACTTTTGCTGTGACAAACAAGTAAAGAGGTGTAAAATATCTGAAAAGAGCCTCTTAAGGTTTGGTAGAACGCTTAAGTGGGATGTAGAGAATATACAGCAAAAAGAAAAGCAAGTGAGTACTGCTGGCAAACTTTTTCAAGGACAGCTAACAAATTAATAATAGTAGTAACAACAATAGTAAGATTGATTTTAAAAGACTTAAGAGTGGCATGGATTCCGAACCACTCTACATGTATTAACTCCATGCCACAGCCCCGTAAAATGGGTGAGGTTATTAAGCCCTTGATTTTCAAAGAGGAAGTGAAACACAAAGAAGTACCACTCCTGAACTCCCACCACTAATAAGTGGTGGAGCTGGGGAAAAAAGATCCAGGCAAATTAATTTTAGAGTTAGTGCTCTTCACCCGTAGGTTATATCCCACAGGTAATATTTGCACATTTTGAAATCACTTTACAAATACTATTTTTACCCCTAAAGTACACAGGGAATACCCAGGGAAATTGGCATTCTAATTATTTTTATATCTTTGCCAATAATCTGTTAACTTTTGGCAGTTCAGTATCCTTCCCCAACTTCTTAAAAATTCAGCCTACAATCCAAAAAAATAAGGGCTAGTGAAAATAAATGTCTTGTAAATCCAGTTCAAGAGAGCAACTAAAACCTAAGGCCTCCAAGGATGTAAAAGAGAAAGCAAAAGAAAAGGAGAGACAAGAAGCCCAAACCCTATGATTAAGCTCCACATTGTTAGGTAAAGGGGCATTTAATTAATGCTTCTTTAATACCGTGTGCACAGAGGCATGGCTCTACAGAAGCCAAGGAGTCTCCCTTTCATCACTGATTCATGGTATGCACCTGGCAGTGTCACTTCCTTCTTTGAGCCTCAAAGCTTTTCATGAAGACACTGAGGGAAATGGAACAAGGTTAGCTCTCACAAGCCAGCTCTCATGTTCTCTCATGTTACCTGTGAGTCTAGGTAAGTGCCGAATGTCTTTAACATGACAGATTATATTTTTTCTTAACCATTTCTCTTCTCCTGATTTTTACTTAATTTCTAATACATAGTAGAATAGTAGAAAAGAAAACATACCGCACTGAAAAGTAACTGACACACTAACTTTCCATTCTCATTTCACTGCCAATTCAGCCAAACGCCTTCTGTAGAATTCTGATGCAGACCATGAAAACACACTGTAAATGTTCCAAAGTCTTTTCCATATTTGGTAGTCCTGTGATTTCCATTGGCAGAACTATCTTGGACTGTCATCTGAAAATCTATCAAAAAGAAATTAAGTAATAGGAATTCATATCAATGGTATTGGAGAAAGAAATCCTTGAACTTACCTTACTGTGTGAACCTTCATCCATGTACAAAATCAACAAGAAAGTTTAAACTTTAAAGGCAACATATTCCCATGAATATAAGGGAGAACATAACACAAATAATATACAATGCTAACCTTATGTACATACACATATATACAAGTGGTCTTGAAATATATTCCCAGATATTAATTGGATTAAAGTGTGGGGCAATAAAGCATTTTTTCTCATAGAGAGCATTATTCTTTAAGGCACATAGAGACACACATATCTGCCCTGCTGGCCTCTCAGTTTCAGTTGATTCCACTCATGTCCCCAGTTCATTTCCCCATATATTTATTCTCGGATTAGTGATTTTTGAACAGGTGTTCCTCTCTTTAGAAATACCTGTGCCATGACCGCAGAGTACTCAGATTTCTTTTTGGCATTTGGCGGCAGATGGTGGGGAAAGTGATGAGTTGTATGACAGGAGAGGTACAAGGTGAACCTTAGAGTAACTAAGACTTTATGCATAGTTCTTAATCCCAAAAGGAAAAGAGAAGGATAGCAGCGAAAGTCATTGGAATAAAGGACCTCTGAGATGAATCAGCATTAGGATAATTCATTGGTTACTGACTGTCCAGTCGGTTTAGGTTATAAAGTATTCCTGAGTGACTGCATCACTTTATGAAAGGTTCTACCTAACTATAGCTTTCTTTTGCTGAAATTAGTTTATATGGCAATAATATGCATAGAGAATGGCAATTGTGAAATCATGTCTTCCCCAAATTGAAGACACTTGTTAAGGTACAAGTTTACCCAAGACTGCAAATGATTTATCCATACTATACTAACTGAGACTGTGTCTTACCATTCTTGTTTGTTAAAGGAGATAACAAGGCTAACTTTGAGTAATAGCAGGATACTTAGAAAATACTTTCAGGTTAAGTTTTGTAAACAAAGTTCACTGTTTACCCACCAAAAGCAAATCAGCTCATTTAGTATTGCAGGAAATGCCTTCATACTTTTTCACTGCCACTAAAGGAATTTAAAACACCTGTTGGATATATTCCCTCCTAGAATGCCATTTGTACACTTATTCCTAATAGGGCCTGTTATTTTAAATGCAAACTCGTATTATAAGGCTCAGAATTGATACTCAGTATTTTTAGTGATCATATGGTTTAAGGTTCTCAGATTTGGGCTCAGACTTGCATTTCAAGCATTGCAATGTGGGCCTGTTAAATGATTTCCATGCAACCAGGAAAAATTGTTTATCTGAATCTGAAGTCCATTTAAAGAAATGTGATAGTGGTTGATGAAGCCGACTAGCATAGCAGCTAGGGCAGTTATAGACAAGTTACATTTAACCTCTCTGTGTCTCAGTGTCTTCCTCTGAATCTGAGTTTCTTCTCAATGGGGATAGATACTGGTACCAATCTGACAGAGTTACTGTAAGAAATGAAGGAGTTCACAAATTTCCTAAAGGCTTAATGTTTGGCTTGTCGTTACTAAATGCTGGTAATTATTAGTAAAACAATATCCCTCTATTATTTATTATATCAAAATAATAATGATAAGAGCCTGTTATTTTAGTAGTTCGATTTTTTGGTCATGTAATTTAGACTAACTCATATTGTTTAAATGTGAAACCAAGAAGAAAAACAGTTTTGTTTTGTTTTTTTTAACCTGGTCAGGAACCCAAATCACCTAATTCAGAAATGTTTCTAACTTGGCATCTGCTTTTAATCTGTCACAGCCAGAGAAAGTTTAATGTCTCAGAAAGTGACAGCCTTGTATTTGTGTAGCATAAAAAAGAAGATATATGCTAGATAACATATATACCCCTTATCTTAGTCATGTCACATATAATGCAACACTATTCCTGCTGGGTTCAAACATTGTGTTCCAGAGCCTACCATTGCCTATTATCAGGAGCAAGAAAGCGTAAGAACCGCATGTGTTTGCCCTTAAGTTGGTCTACAACACAGATACTGTCAATCAGCCTCTGATAGTACCCTCCCCGTGGACAACCTTCTGTGCCCTTTTGAGCATGCTCAGATGGAGTCTACCATCAGTGTGGTGGGACTTCACTTCGCTTCAAGTGTGTCCAAGTTGAAGGGTGAAATTAACAAATACTAACCAAATTTGTGGCTGTCCAAACTAGGAAAATAGTTAAAGAATCAGGACATGAAGAATCAAGCAAATACTCATTCGGCGTCAACCCAATAAAAAAGCTTGGTGAGAAAAAAGTTGCCAAAGATGAAAGCCCAGAATAGTGCTACTTTAGCCTAACCACAGTGTCAAAGCAAATGACACACATACACACAAACGCAAAAGGAAGCCCTCTTCACACTAATGCCCCCAAATCCTTTATGGGGCTTCAAACTGAGCAGATTAGGTAGGTTGATGGTTGTCATTTACGGACTGGGTCCACCTAACAAGACTGGTTACTAACAGAATATCTCTGTTTTGTCATTTAATAGATATCCCAAACTTAATATAGCTTGCAATCAAATACACAGATAGTCACTCATGCTTTTCCTGTAGACTTTCCAAAACAGAAAAGCGCTGCTCCATTCTTCCTGGTGCTCAGTTACAAAATGTGATTCATCTTTAACGTTTTTCTTTCTCTCTCCTTTCACATCCAATACACAAGCAAAATGTGTCAGCCCTATCTTTGAGATAGAACCAGAATTTGACAGTTTCTCGATTTTTCCACTGTTACCACTCAGGATTAAGATTTCGTTGTCTGTCATCTTAATTATTATCCCTCTGAACTGTGTACTTAACACAGTGGCCGGAGAACCCTTTGAGAATCTAAGTCAGAAGAATTATGTGGCTTCAGTGTCTTCCCCTTCATCATAGTTGAAGCTGAAGTTCTTAAAATGCTGGAAAGTTGCTACATGATTACCCTCCACATTATATATTTGATCTCATCTCCTCCACCTCTACTCCTTGCCCACTCTTTTCCAAACACCTTATACTCTTTAGTCCTTGATGTTCAACAAGTATAGTAGGAAGACATTTTCACTTGCTGTTCCCTTTACCTGAACTGCTGTTGTCTTTACTATCTACAGTACCCATCCACTTACCTTTTTAGGTCTTTTCTTAAATATCACCGTCTCCATTTGAGGCCTTGCTTGCATTCCCTGTAATAACCTGCAGCCCCACTAATACACCCTACCTCCTTAGGAGCCTCCCTTCTGCTGTAGAATCTGTTGAATGAATGAATGGAGTGAGCTATGTCTAATTTCCAAAAAAATAAACATCAACCGTGAACACTTGTTGAGAGACGGATTCAACGTATAAAGAATAAAAGAAGTGTAAATTCAGGCCTTACCATTCACCATCCATTCCCTCAGGGTTCTGTTATGGTGTATCTTTGAATAAAAAGCACAATTTGATAAGACCAATTAATAGCTTAAATTCGTTAGAATCCCAAACCTTTTATAGTAGAAATGTGATAAAAATTGTGTCAGAGATTCTCAACAAAATGTTAGCGAATTGAAGCAAAAAAGGATAAACACAATTGTATACCATGACCAAACGGGATTTGTGTCAGGTACGTAAGGCTCGTTCAACATTTGAAAATTAATTAATATAATCCAACCAAGACAAATAAAGGAAAAAAGACATATAAATACATGTGGAAGAAGCATTTGACAAAATCCAGCGTGCACTCATGAGAAAAACTCTCAGTGAACTAGGAATAGAGAGGGACTTTCTTAACTTGATAAATACGACCTACAAAAAAACCAATAGCTAACATCATACTTACTGGAGAGAAACTCAATGCTTTCCCACTAAGATTAAGCACAAGGCAAGGATGTCCTCCTTTATTATAACTTTTCAATATTGTGCTGCAAGTCCTTGCTAATGCAGTAAGGCAAGAAAAGGAAATAAAAGGTGTACAGATTGAGAACGAAGACATAAACCTGTCTTTGTCACAGGTGACATGATCATCTATGTAGAAAATCTTAAAGAGTTGACCCAAAACTCCTGTAACTAATAAGTGATTATAGCAAGGGTGCAGGATCTAAGGTTAATATACAAAAGGCAATTGCTTTCCTATATACCAATAATGAACAAGTGGAATAGGTTTAAAAATAAACCGACACTATTTACATTAGCATTGCCAAAACTGTAATACTTCTGTATAAATCTAATAAAATATGTACAACCTCTATAGGAGGAAAACTACAAAACCGTGATGAATGAAGTCAAAGAATAACTAAATAAATGGAGAGATATTGCATGTTCATGAATAGGAAGACTCGGTATTCTCAAAATGTCAGTTCTTTCTAAGTTAATCTATAGAAATTCAGTGAGATCCCAATCAAAATCCCAGCAAGTTATTTTATGGATATTGGCAAACTGATCCTAAAGTCCATATGAAGAGGCAAGAGACCCAGAATAGCTATCACCTCATTGAAGGACACAGTTGAAGGAATGACACTACCCAGCTTGAAGACTTATTATGAAGGTGCAGTAATCAAGACAGGGTGGTATTGGTGAAACAACAAGTAGATCAATGGAACAGAATAAAGAGCCCCAAAATAGACCCACATAAATACAATCAACTGGTCTTTGGCAAAAGAACAAAGACAATACAATGGAGCAAAGATAGTCTTTTCATCAAATAGTGCTGAAACAACTGGATGTCCATAGTTAAAAAAAAAAAAATCGAGACACACATATATATAAATATACACTGTATACATACATACATACAGTGTACATATACTGTATATATACACACCCATATATCAATATATATATACAGCATGTTCACATTTATAATATGTATACTATATATACACATACATACATGTATACAATATGTACACACAAATATATAGGCTTCTATGTATACTGTATATAGTACTTACACATATACTACAAACGCACGCACATATAACATGTGTATACATATATATAATATGTATACACACATATAGAAAGTAACAGGCTTGTATATATTCAGTATTTTTACATATATAGTTTTGTTTTAAGGAGTTGACTCGTGACCATGAGGCAGGCAAGTCAGGGCAGGACTCTGGGCAGGAGACACAGGGAAGAGCTGATGTCCCAAGGCCATTGGAGGAACAGTTCCCTCTTTCTAGGGAACCTCATTTTTCTCTCCAGTCCTTCAAGTGATGGACGAGGCCCACCCACGCCGCGGCATTGACAATCTCCTTTACGCAAAGTGGACCAATTTCAGTGTTAATCTCTTCTGAAAAATACCTTCCTGGCCACATCTGGAATAATGTTTGTGGTTGCCGGGGCCCCACGCAGTGCGCACATGAGATTAACCATCCCCGTGGCGATGATGACACTTTATTTTCTCCCTTGACCATTGTCACTACTATTCCAATTAAAATGGCAGTGCTATGAGGGCAGGGCATTTCCTTTTTTGCCAGTACTGAGCGTCCGCGGTCTGGTGCCTAGCATAGGCTAAATACACGGGAACAGAAGCCGGGATTCCGGCTGTCGTATTTAATGAGGAATTACAGTCTTATTATTGGCGGCGGGGGCGGGGGGGGGGGCGGGTGGTGGCGGCGGCGGCGGCGGCGGCGGCGTGTGTCACGGTACGTCAAGGGCGGGAGTCGAACCCGCCACCCCAGGCCCCGAGGGGTCTCGCCGGGTCCCCAGTTCGGGCTGGTGGGGGTGGCCGTGGGCAGTGGAAGACGCGCGTGCGTGCGTGAGAGCGGGCGAGTCCACGGGGTGGGCTGCGCGCGCCGGGACTGTTTCAGCCCCGCCCCCGGCTAGTTGCTCGCCTCACGCCGACCCGAGTTGGCGGCAGCGCTGGAGGCCCCGGACCTGTGACCCCAAAGAGGGAGCCGGGGGCCGGACGGGAGTGCGTCGGCGGCGGCTTAGACCCAGGCCAGGCCCTCTCCCCTCAGCCTCCCGCCTGCCTGTCTGCCCCGCCCCAGCCGGCGGCGCCGCGCCCCTCCGCCAACCGCAAGACTAGTACGTTGCGGGGGCCGTGCGCGAAGACATCCGGGAGAAGCTGGAGCTGAGGGTGGAGTCGCCCGTGGGGACCGAGCCCGCCGTCTACCCGTGGCCGCTGACGGTCTACGTGAGTGCCGCCCGTCTCCTCCTCCCGGACCCCCGCCTCTCTTCCCCCACGGCGCGTGCTGAGCCCACCGAGAAACGGAGCTCGAGTCGCCAGACCCTGTTTGGAGCCCCCCTTCCCGCCCCGCCGTGATTCTCCGCGGCAGTTTCCAGCCTCCGCCCGCAGGGTGGGCAAAGGGGAGCCGGCGCCGGCCGGGGCCCGAACTCGGCCGCGCGAGGGGCGCCCGAGCCGGTCTGCGGTTGGCTCTGCAGGGCTGGGGTCCCCGGTCACCCCGGGCCTGGACTGCCGGCGTGCTTGCCCGTACTTTAGGATCTGACATGTAGGGTTCCTTTTTTTTTCGGTACGCGGGCCTCTCACTGTTGTGGCCTCTCCCGTTGCGGAGCACAGGCTCTGGACGCGCAGACTCAGTGGCCATGGCTCACTGGCCCAGCCGCTCCGCGGCATGTGGGATCTTCCCGGACCGGGGCATGAACCCGAGTCCCATGTATGGGCAGGCGGACTCTCAACCACTGCGCCACCAGGGAAGCCCATGTAGGGTTTCTTTTTCCTGGTAGTTTATTCTTAGTGCTGTCTACGTGCTTAGTTTTTTTTATTTTTGAGGACACCCTTTCCTCCCACTCTCCAGTTTTTTGTGTTTTTGTTTTGTTTTGTTTTAGTTAGGCATTTTGTCCCTCTGATCTTGAGTGGGTGGGCTGGCAGGACACTTGGAGAGGAGGCATTCTGTCCCCTGATCTTGAGTGGCCTTTGGAAAATGACACGCCAGACGGAAATTTACACAGGCGTCCGGTGATTCCAGAAATGCAGGGTGTCCGGCTAGGTGGGCGCCCGGCCTCTCGTCCCCCGTGGCGGCGTGGTGCGCGTGTTCCTTGTCTCAGGGTTTACGCTTGGGCCCCGCAGCCCACCTTCTGGAGGGAAAGCGCAGCGGGCGCCTTGTGCTGGCGCCTTTGGGGCGCCCTTCCGTGCGCTCGGCTTGCGGGGGGACTGGCCTCCACGGGACCCAGCAGGGAAGCCCGCGCGACCCGCCCTCCTCGCGGGCTCCGTGTGTGTCCGTTTGTGGAAACTGTCGCGGCCGGGGACGGAGTCGGAAAGCTGGGACCGCCCGGGTGCCTAAGTTGGCTCTGGACCCCGGTTCTCCGCAGTTATCTGAGGTCCGAGGGTTTCCAGCCCGCCACTGGGCACTGGCGCTTTCTATTTTTGCTCTTCCTGTGCTCGGAGGCGCGGCAGAGCCTGGGCTCTGGCTTTTCCGGTTGGGTAACTCCGGGTGGCCGGGGTGGGCGGCCTGAGCAGTGGGCAGGGCGGGGAGACAGCCCAGGGGAGGGAAACTGAAAGTGGGGAGAACTCCAGGTGATACATTTCCCTTGCCTCCCCGCCCCTCTTACTGCACTTGTCCTGTACGGGTTGGCTGGCCCTGGCCAGCGCATTTTTCAAAATGTAATAATTGGTTTATCCTTAGTAGCCGTGAAACATAGTTCACCCCTCCCCTCTCCCCTCATCACCTTGCTTTACTCTTCTCCCGTGGGGTTTGGTGTGACCTTTGGGTTTGGGCCACTATTCCCTCTGTGAGCCTGCCCCGTGCTGTGCAGAGGAGGCCGGGTGCCTGGGAGGCTCACCCGGGTGAGATCTGGGAGGAGGGCCGCCTGCTGTGTTCTAGCGGGCTGTCTCCTCACGTGGGACCTGAGGGTCTGCGACGGCCTCCAGAGTGCCCTCGGGGGCCCATGCGCAGAATCCTGCGACCGCTCTTGGCTTTAGAATGTTCCACGTGTGTGACCGTGGCCCTGGCATCTCGCTGCATTGTGCCTTAAAATCCTTAGCTGTGTAGCCACTGCCTGGGCCACACGCCATTATATCTGCTTGGACCTGGGGCGGCCGGGCTGGCAGCAGCACAAAAGGCTGTTTGATACATAGGGGTGGTGCTCCCCACTCTCCGTCCTGTCCTTCCTGCGAGAGGCGAGCATGTATCATTTTCTTCTGTATTGTTTCAGATTATATGTATGTATATATTACTGTAGTGTATTAGTATAAAATCTATCGTAGGGTTCTACAGAGAAACAGACCCAGTGATGTCTGTGTATATGAGATTAATTTAAGCAGCTGAGTCACACGACTTCAGGCTGGCAAGTCTGAAATATGCAGGACAGGCCAAGAGAGGCAGACCCAGGGAAGAGTTGATGTTGTAGCTCAAGTCTAAAGGCAGTCTGGAGGCAGAATTTTATATATACACATACAGATTAACTCCATATAATATAGTACAGAGGGGTCCTGTGTAGTTTACCCAACTTTCTCCAATGGACGTCGCACGTAACTGTAATAGCAAAACCAGAAAATGGACATCGGCATAATCTACAGACTTTATTCACTGTGAATGTATGGTCACGTGTATGGACGCATGCATTCTTGTAACCTCCACCTCAGACAAGACATAGATCGGTTTCATCACGACAATATTTTTATCCCTCTTAAATACATAAATACAGATATCCTGGAGATGGCAAGTGTTGTGAACTTAGGGAAGTAGTGTACTAAGGTATTCATCAGAGAAGAGCTGGTGTCCAGTCTAGGTTGTCATCATCACTTCCTGATGTGAATCCCAATTACTACTTTGGTTTTTTTTCTAGTATTAACAAATTCCTGACATGAGGTGGATCTTTGACTTACTCTAGTGCACAGACATGTGCCGGGCCAGCTCCTGGGTCTCTCTTTGTTTTGAGGTTGGTGGGGCATCAACACCAGACTGAAGGTTGCCCAGATCTCCCCCAAACCGAGATTACCCCCCAACCCCTGTTTTGAACCACATCAAATGTATTTATTTAATACTTTGACTCATGCTTTTGGTTTTGATCTTCTTTTGAAAGATTGTTTTTCTCTTTTTCCCTTCTCTTCACATAGGAGGAAAAGACACGTAGAGTTATATCCAGAGAACAGTAAGAATAATAAACCTTTTTGTTCTGTGCAATATGTAATCTTGATGACTGAAATTACTTTTCTGAAATCTTTTAAAAAGAAGAACTTTAGGGCTTCCCTGGTGGCGCAGAGAGTCCACCTGCCGATGCAGGGGACACGGGTTCGTGCCCCGGTCCGGGAAGATCCCACATGCCGCGGAGCTGCTAGGCCCGTGAGCCATGGCCGCTGGGCCTGCGCGTCCGGAGCCTGTGCTCCGCAGTGGGAGAGGCCACAGCAGTGAGAGGCCCGGGTACCACAAACACACACACACACACAAAAGAACTTTATAGTGAGTTGTCAGCGTGACCATAGATAGCTTAAGGATGCTGGGTTTGCAGTCAGGTTATTAACCTTGTGATTCAGGTAGAATTGTCTTACAAAGAGTGAATTGGGGGCAACTGGCAGTTATCAGAACTAGATCTAAAGGTTGTATTAAATATTAAATGTTGAGGTAATATGTGCCTTTCAGGGCTCCTGAGATGAAGATTGATTTTTTGGGGGGGAGGGGGTGGGTAGGAAGGAAGACCTTTTGAAAACTGCCTGTATGGGAGGAGTCTATGAAAGTCATCCTTAGGGTGTGTGATTTTGCTTGACAGAGTTGCTGGACCGCTCCCTGCAGAAGAACCGGGAAGAGTAAGACCAGGAACACACGTGGAAGAAGAAGAAAGAGATGATAAAGTAAAGCCTGGTCACCTCCAGGTTTGTCACTTCCACCTTAATCTCAGAACCCATTTGGTTTTAGGAAGGGGGGTCAGGGTGTGGGCAGCATGTAGGAACAGAATGACTTTCACTAATGATCAGAATGACCTTGGATTTAGCTAAAATGCTCTTCAAACTCATTTTTCTGCTGGTTCTCTATGTGGAAGGTGTGTTATGTGGCTCTGGTGATAGTAAATCAGCGGTAGGCCTGGAAGCCAGCTGGAGCTCTGCTACTTGATCAGTCAGTCACAGAGCTTCAGTCTGTCCCGTCTCCTGCCTGTCTCCTGCCCATGAGGTCTTTGTGAAGATCTCTTTTCAAACACATGAGGTGCTAAAGTGCTCTAGTATCGTCCAGGTATAAAGTTGCATTCTTAACTGAGATCAGACCAGTTCTTTCTCCAGACCTCCAGCTCCTTTGTAAAATCAGAGTTTCAGGTTCTATGAAATACAGATGTACCCACTGAACCCCCATGGGAGGGGGTAGGAGAAGGGATTGGGAATCTGATGCTGGAAGATTTACCATTAGACAGCACTGCCCCATATGACAAAGGGCTAACATTGGTCGGGCACAGGTGGTAGAACAGTATCACGTCCCTTTTGGTTTTATTAAAACGTTGATTAGAAGTTTCAGCTCAGCAGAGGGGCAGCACCCTGGGCGGGCACTGGGCCTCCACCATCTATGGCTCCTCCCCTCCAGCACCCAGGCTAGGTACTCAGTTCCCAGCAGCCCAGAGGGCAGGAACGGAGCTCTGCCAGGCTGGCCTTCCCAGAGGGCAAGTGTAAGCAGCACAGCCAGGAATATGAGCGACAGGCTTTGCTGGGTTGTCGAGAAGGAGGGCGACATCTGGCTCGGCATGGCTGGAGTCAGCTCTGGCCTCCTCCCCTCGAAAACGGGCACTGGGCCCCTGGTCTCAGGCTCACACAGGCCTCCAAAGCCCTTACCTCAGGATGGCCCTCAGACCCCTACATCCAGCCATCCTGCCGCCCCAAACACCAGCAGGTCGAGCACCACTCAGAGAAGGGGGCCTTTAAAGGGCTTTAGGAAATCTTAGAATCCAGATATGGAAGCTACTGTGTTTCACTTGTAGCTGAGAACTCTGCTCCCAGAGCACAGGATGGCCGAGGGGGGCGAGATGGGAGGGTCTCGCTGTGACCCCCAGGCACTGCTGGCCTTTTCAGCCACATGCCTGCATTCCTTAGAAATACATTTCATTAACAGCGAAACGGAACACCCTGAGAAACAGGAGGAATTATTGGTTCATTTCAACCCTTAGCAACACGGAGTTTTCACCACCGTGTGTGTATTTCCTCTGCTCTCTGCCATGCGCTGGAACTTACCTTTGGGCGAAACGTTCCTCAGCTGTCCACGGCACCCGACACACTTGGCGACTCCTCCTGACCCGGGAGCGCCCTGGGCCCCAGGGACAGGGTCCCTCCTTCCTAACCACCCCCTTGTGCTCAGGCGGGTCAGCCCCCAGCCCTGGGGACTCAGCGTCCCGTCGGAAGTGACTGCGAGTCAGGCTCCCCACCGACCCCTCCCCCTTGGTCTCCCTTCCGCCAGGGCCGCTTCGTGCGCGGTGCCAGTCGGCCCCTCGTCAGGGGGGAGGAGACCCGGGCAGACTCTGCTCCACTGACCTGCAGGTGCCTGTCCGGGACGTGGTCGGAACAGCCGGTAGGTGTCAGGGAAGACCCTAGGGCGGCGCCATCCCGCACCCTCACGACGCCCTGCTGCTCCGTGTGGGGCCCGCGGCCCGGGGGGCAAGAGGCGCGACGGGGGTGGGAAAGAGACGGGGCCACGGGAAGCCCACCCCGGGCCGGGGTGCAGAGGCAGGAGGCAGCGAGGAGGGCCGGCCCAGCCGCGAAGCCCGTGCCTCCGTCCCACCCGTGCCCGAGGGTCCCTCAGACCTCCCTGCTGGCCCCTGGGCTCGGGGTGGGTGACGGGTGCGCGGAAGAAGCTGTCCCGCTCGAGCCGGTCGGAGAGGCCAGCCAAGGGGTTGTGCCTGTTCCCGGCGTGGGATGAGCACCAGGGCGTGAGGGTGTGGAGCCGTCCGGCCGCAGGTCACAGGCTTTGCCTTTTGGAAGGGAGGGCTGCGATGGGACTGTGCCGACGGAAGGGGAGGATGGAGCCGCCAACAGTCCCCGTTTGCCAGGCAGAGCTTCATTGCGGACCTTGTTCTCAGCAGCTGTGCGCAACAGGGACACCCAGGCCTGGCGAGTCTGCGCCCCACCCAGGGCCTCTGGGTTCCTGCGCCGCAGCCCTGGCATCTCCTGCTGAGAAACCCCAGAGACCGTGCGCCTTCCCCCGAGCCCACCGCCCCGATGTAGAGCCCAAGGGGGGTGGGGGCTTCACCCCAAACTTGAGAAAGCCACACCTGGGGGCCGGGGCACAAGCGGGGGTCCCACCTTCCCCGCAGGAGCAGACCCCAAGGAGGGTCTATCTTTTGGAAATAAATTTAGACTAACAGGTTTTACACACAGAATCTTAGAGCTGGGAAAAGTCCTTTGTGTCATTCATGTAGCTCCTTAAGATTTTTTTTTAATGAGAGGATGGATTTCCTTGAGCACGAATGAATTTCTAGAAATGGGTCCCTGGATCCCAAGGACTGTTTTGGGGAAGAAAGATGAATATATTCTGTGAACGCCTTATAGAACTTATTCTATATTGTAGTTCTCTCTGGAAACACATGTACCGTTGATCTTTGTAGCAGCCCTTAACATCCTCAAGAGAAGCTCTCATTTCCCCATTAGTACTTGTTATAGGCTGAATATTTGGGTCCCCCAAGCATTCACATGTTGACACCCTACCTCCAATGTGAAGGTATTAGAAGGTGGGTCTTTTGGGAGATGATTAGGATTTGATGAGGTCATCGGGATGGAGCCCTCGTGATGAGATTCTTACCCTTGTGAGAATCATGAGAGAGCTGGATTTTTCTCTCTGCTCTCTGCCCTGTGAGGACACAATGAAAAGTGGACAGTCTGCAACCCGGAAGAGAGTCCTCACCAGAAGGCGATGATCCCGGCACCTAGATCTCAGACTTCCAGCCTCCAGGACTGAGAATTACATTTTTGTTGTTTATAAGCCCCCACCCCGCCCCATTTATGGAACTTTGTGACAAGAGCCCAAACTGACTTAGCAGTCTTTTCTTCAGATAAATGGAAGAATTTGTGCAGCCATCGATTTTATGATACAATTTCCCAAATAACCAATATTCTCTCTATACACTCTGATTTCTCAACTTTTTTATTTATCAAAATTGTTATTAAAAAAGCTTCCATATTTTTTCCTGATAAATTGTTTCCAGTCCAAGTTATCACTATAATGGTTCTATGATATTAATAATTTGAGCCCTAATACCCTGCTTAAAATAATCATTCATTTGTCTTATGAATAACTTCAGGGTTCAAATGCAAAAGTTTTAAAAGGATATACTGTGTAAAACATCTATGTCATCCCTCTGAAGGAAAGAAGGAGGGAAGAAAGGAAGGAGGGAAGAAGGAAGGAAGGAAGGTAGGAAGGAAGGAAAAAACAATGAAATTGCCCTCAGTTTAGCTGCCACTTCCTAAGGGAAGCCCTTTCCAACTCCAGACCCCCAGGCATCACAAATAAGCTCTCATGGGACACTGTCCATACTGTTTGTTGCACGTCATGTTTCCTGAAAAGCTGATTCTGAGACAAGGAGAGACTTTCAGGAAGTTTCTTGGGGTGTGTTTTTTGGGATAAAACATAGAATTACCGTATGACTCAGCAATTTCACTCCTAAATCATTAAAAACAAACACTCAAACAAATCTGCGTACACACGTGTTTATAGCAGCACTATTCACAATAGAAGAATCATGGAAATAACCCAAATGTCCATCATTGGATGAATGAATAAACAAATTGTGGCATATACCTACAGTGCAATAGTAATTCAGTCATAAAAAGGAATGGAGCAATTAAATATCAAACATGACCAAAAACATTTTTTTAAGGAATGGAATACTAATACATATTACAGTGTGGATGACTCTCAGAAACATCATGCTAAAGTGAAAGATGGGAGACACAAAGATCATACGTTGTATGATTCCATTTATCTAAAATATCCAGAATAAGTAAATCCATAGAGAAAGAAAGCAGATTGGTGGTCTCCAGGGCCTGGTAGAGAGAGCGAAGTAGTATCTTCTCAATGGGTACAGAGTTTCCTTTTTGGGGTGATAAAAATGTCTGGGGGGGAAAAGTTTTTAATTGGAAAATGATTGATTAAAAACAAGTCTGTGCGGTATTTCTTGGTACTGCCTTTCCCAGTTTTGACAGTAAATGGTCAGGTACACAGTAAATGGTCAAGTACAACAGCCATGGTTTGAGAAAGAAATGATGACCAGGGCTCAGAACACTCATTCGGGGACGAGCGTGAGGGTCACCCCACAAAGTAAGCCATCCATTTTCGCAGAGATATTATCCAAGGATGAGGGAATTGAGAATGGATAGCACAGGAGGGAGACAATGACTATCAGTTGTGGCCTTGAGGCCACCTACAGTAACACAGGCTATAGTTCGACCCATTGACCCTCCTTTCACTAGTAGTTCATCTCAATTCACCCTCTCCCCTAAAAACGATCCATGGAAACTGTGAAAGAGTTGTTTCCAGAACTTATGCAAAGACGTTGATCCAAGTAAAGGCAACAAAAGCAAAAATAAACAAGGGGGCTACATCCAACTAAAAAGCACAACAAAGGAAACCAACAACAAAATGAAAAGGCAGCCTACCAAATGGGAGAAAATTTTTATAAATCATATATCCTATAAGGGGTTAGTATTCAAATTATATGAAGAACTCATAGAAAAAATATCCAACTAAGAAATGGACAGAGGTTCTGAATGGACATTTTTACCGAGAAGATACAGAGATGGCCAGCAGATAGTTAAAAAGGCACCCAAAATCACTAATCAGCAGAGAAATCAAACCACAAAGAGATGTCACCTCATACCTGTTAGACTGGCTAATATCAAAAAGACATGAACTAACAAGTGTTGGCAAGGGTTTGGAGAAAAGGGAAGCCTTGTGCACTGTTGGTAGGAATGTGAATTGTTGCAGCCACTATGGAAAACAGTATGGAGGTCCTCAAAAAATTAAAAATAGAACTATCATATGATCCAGCAATTCCACTACTTGGTATTTGTATGAAGGAAAGAGAAACTCTTAATTCAAAATGAAATCTGTACTCCCATATTCACTGCAGAATTATTTACAGTAGCCAAGACTTGGAAACCCCTGTGTTCATCGATGTATAAATGGATAAAGGACATTAGGCATAATATGCCAAATTATTTATATATATATATAATTCAGCCATGAGAAAGAAGCAAATCATGCCATTTGTGGCAACATGAATGGACCATGAGGGCGTTATGCTAGGTAAAATATGTCAGACAGAGAAAGAAAAAACCTGTAAGATCTCACTTTATATGGAATTTTAAAAAAAGCTCATAGATACATAGACTGGTGTTTACCATAGGCAGGGGGTGGAGGGTGGGTGAAATGGGTAAAGGTGGTCAATATGTACAAACTGCCAGTGATAAAATAAATAAGTCCTGGGGATGTGACTATAGTTAATAAGACCGTATTGCATATTTAAAAGTTATTATAAAACACTGGCTATCGTTATAGCTTATTTATTTTATTCATAGTAGTTTGTGCCTCTTAATTCCCTCCCCTACCCCTATCTTGCCCCTCCCCCCTTTCCTCTACCCACTGGTAACCACTGCTTTGATGTCTATATCTGTGAGTTCATTTCCTTTCTGTTACATTTATTTATTTTTTAGATTCCACATATGAATGATAACATACTGTATTTGTCTTTCTCTGTTTGACTTATTTCACTAAGCATAATAGTGTTGCAGCAAAAATAGAAATGAAGTTTTTCCTCTCCTGAAAATAAGGAAAGTAAAGGGGACAGTGAACAGGCTAGAGAAGACACATAAACTGGCCTGAAAGGGTTAATCGATCCTAGTTTTATTTAAACTGTTACTAATCTGTAGTGTCTGTAACTAGATTTATCTTTCATAAAGCTAAATTACATTCTGTTCCTATCGCTCCCTAGCTGTCTATGTAAATTACATCCTGAATCTGGTGCTTAAGCTCCCTGCACTCTCTTGTAGCAAATCACCCTGTGTAGCTGTTTGCATTTCAGGAAGCAGATGGCAGGCAGGTAACACAGAGGCAAATGAGCCCAATTACTGTTCCCCCGGACCCAATTACCGGACTGCCTGACGCCAGCGATGGCGGTTTTGATATAATTCAAGAAGAAGAAGAATGCAGGACCTTTACCACTTTGATCCTTATTACCACTCCCTGGACTGCGGTGGCCGCCCGAGGGGCCCGGAGGCCAGCGGGGGCCTCCAGGCGTGTGTGGGCATCTTGTCTACAGCCAGCGTCCCCAAGGCCTCGCTCGGCCCATAATCACTCAGTGAAGCTGCGCCGCGACAGCGTGGCCGACTTCTTCTGGCACTGTGAGGACCTCTGTGCGCTGCAGGACTCGGTGCCTCTGCCCGCCCGTTCGCGCCTCCCTGCGGGAGGGCCTGCTGGACTTCAATGCTGACCGCCTCCGCGGGGTGGACTGGGTGCTGCCCCTGAGCACCCTCTGTCCCCGATCTGTATCTGGAGCTTCTTCCAGCCATGGCTTGGCAAGATGGGTTTGTACTTCCCGCTTCCAGAGGCCCTCGTGTCGGCGCTGCGAATCAGGGTTTTAGATGGTGCAAGGTGGAGGGTGGGCACTAGAACTGGTGCCCAGTGCCCGGGTGTGCGTGTGCTAGACGGGCATGTTCTAGGTCTCAGTGTTTTCATCTGTAGAATGGGCTGAACAGGACTCACTCTCTGTGGCCGTTACAGGGTTGCACCGTGTTAATGCTTGTAGACTCTACAATGTAGAACACTTAGCACAGTTTGGAGCATCGTTAATTGTTGCACAGATGTTACATGGTCTGTTGAACGACTTTGCCTGATACACGCCAAAGCGATTAGGAAACTGGTGTATCCCAGCTTCATTTCCTTTCCATTAAAACAGGGCTCAGCAAAAAAAAAATCTTTTTTTCAATAGTCGTATCATATAGCAAAAAGAGCACCGGTGTGAAGGCAGCTTAGGGTTTGAATTCCAGGGCTTATGCTCTCTGTGGCCTGGGCAGGTTACTTTTGAACTGCAATCCCCACACTTGTAAAATGACTTTAAAAACCACTCTTTCTGTGGGTTCTTAGAATTAATTAAGCAGGTTATGTGTGTAAAGTATCCTGGCACTTGAATGAGTTGTCAGAATGAAGGGCTGCTGGAGACGATGCTTCTGCCCTAGGTAAGCTCCCCTTCTACTGGGCGACAGGTAAACACAAGCACAGTAGTCAGTGCTCTAGAAGAAGTGAGTTCTGGTGCTACAGAGCACAGAATCTTTTTTTTAAATTTAATTATTATTTTATATTGGAGGATAGTTGATTTACAATATTGTGTTAGTTTCAGGTGTACAGCAAAGTGATTCAGTTTTACATATATCCATTCTTTTTCAGATTCTTTTCCCATACAGGTTGTTATAGGATATGGAGTAGAGTTCCCTGTGCTGTGCAGTAGGTCCTTGTTGATTGATTACCTATTTTATATATAGTCGTGTGTATATGTTAATGCCAAACTCCTAATGTATCCCTCCCCGCCATCTTTCCCCTTTGCAGAGCACAGAAACTTGGAAGGGAAAGTTCAGGGTAGGATTCTAGGGGAAGTGCCGTCCTTTCTAAGGATATGTAGAAGCTCCTGGGGTGGCAGGAGAAAGCAGTGTGTGTTGAAGTTTGAGAAATGTAAGAAAATATGGCAAAACTAATGTACAGGACTGGAACTCAGGGTTTGGGAAAGAAATGAGAGTTGATACTGAAAACTTAGTGGGGCCCAACAGAAAGGCGCCTTGTTTGTCCTGTCAGAAGTTTGGATGTTTATCCTGAAGGCTGCGGGAAACACCAAAGAACAGTGAAATGGAATTCTGGTTTAGAGGCTCACTTGGACCTCCATGTGGAAGGCAGTTGATTGGGTGCAGGGTGAATTGGAATCTAAGGGTCCCCCTTAAGTTATAAAAGGTGGGACCGGGTTTTGCAGATCTGAGAGAGAATGGGTGAGGCCTGGTGACCAGTTAGAAAAGGGAGGGCAGCAAGCGTGGGTGACAGTTTACAGCTGCATCTTTTTGTGAGATACAGAGCACAGTAGAAAGGGATTTGGGGTGGCGAGAGGATCTTACTTTATCTTCAGTGCTTTAGAGGGGCCTGGTAGACAGGTCTGGGCCCAAGGTTCAGATCTGTGCTCTTTGGGAGGACAGGTGTTTGAAGGCATGGTAGAGACTTAGGTTATCCACAAGAATATCCAAAGAATCATAGGTCTGAGGGTTTTTTAAGTGGGTATATTGAGGATGTTTATAAGCTGAAAGAAAGTAGCTAGCAGAGGAAGGGTGTGAAGATCTAGGAGAGGAAATGATTGTTCATTTGTTTTCAAAAAGCTGAATACTTATCGTGTGCCTGGCCGTTTTCTAGCATCTGTGGTTCTCACCATGTGTTACCTCTCCTGCAAGGACAGTTCAACTCATCCCCTGGTGAAGAGAAGTCAGATTATTCTTTGCATCCCATTCAGGTGTAGGAACTCTTCTGTACCTCTGAATGGACTTTACTTAACCAGTGTAATAAGTTAGAAATCAAAAGGGGACCTTAAAGGCCACAGTACTTAATTTTGCCTAATATTTTACACTGATTGTAAGAAAAATTTATTGTAGAGCCCATTCTCTTCAGAGTTCCTTCACTGAACTTTCTTTATGTCTTGCATCCAGTGGGTCTAGCTTGTAGATTTTGGCCTCCTCCTAAATTTGCTTCTTCATCCATATTACATTTTGCCCGGACTATGGCAGAAGCTCCTGGGTGGTTTCGCGGCCTCTGGACTCAGTTCCTCTAAGGTCATCTGCCTACTCGGGTTGAGTGATCTTCTAATATGAAAAGCTATGCGTAAAATAATGCTGCTAATGGCTTGCCCACACAGAGTTAGTGCATACTAGCCGCCCAGCGTGTGCTCTGCACAGAGGCGTGTAGTCTGAACTGTGCTTTGCCAAGCCTCCTGGGGCTCTTTGGCCCTGAGGAAGGGGAGCTTTTTGGGGTCACTCCCTTTACCTAATCGGTCCTTCAGCCTCGGGGCACCTTTTTCTAGTCAGCGGAGGCACCGTTACTCAGCCAGTGGTAGTCCCAGGCCTCATCACCTGTGGGATACAAGCCTTGCTCTCTGCCAGGCTTGATTCGACCAACATCTCTATTTTCTCTCCCTTCTCACACTTGGACCCCTGGCGTTTAGTTATCCCCACCTGCAGTATTTACAGTGCCCAGCAGGTGTCAGGCTTGAGTGTCTTTGCACAGGTGCTCCCCGTGCAGTTAATGCACCTCCTACTCCAACTCTGCATAGCCTCATTTTTCTTGATTTTACTTCAGGGTTATCATGAAGCCCTCACTTAGATATAAGTTTTGGCCTCCATAGGAAACTCTGTGCATAAAGGTTATGGTTCTTTATCTCATGTGATTGAAATTTTGAGTTTATATATCTTCCTCCTTAATGAGGCTTTAAGGGCAGGAGTCATTTCTAATCAGCACAGAATAGATGCTTTTTTTTTCTTTTTAGATGCTTTTTACGGTGATAAAATGTATGGTTTAAATGACTCATTTTACAATAATTTTGCTTTAGGTTCTGATAGAAATAAAGTTTCCAGAAGTTGTGTTCCTGCAATAAGAAATAAAGATGTGACCTTCCAGTTGTGTAAAGCTCTTAAATGCTGTGTAAGTGCATCGGGTGCCTACGGAACCTGGAGCTAAATGGGCTAGTTCTGAGAGAGACTTAACTACGTTAACAAAGGTAAGCCTTCATTGTGTCCTGCCAACATTTGATAGCTGCTTTTGGGCAAACTAAACGGGTAAAATTTTAAACTGTTCCTCCCCATTTAAGGGATTGAATAAATCGGCCACTTTGGGGCACCTGTGTCTTGCAAATTGTCCA